AAAATTTCCTCTAAATTGTATATGACTTAGAATATTATTTTCCAACTTTCAATATTTTATAACATGATACGCATTTGTTTCTTTTTCAGTAAAATTTAAAATATAAAACTTCAACCCAAGTATGTAGCATCGTGTGTGATAATATTGCCATTGCGTCAYCATTCAAAGTTTATTACAGTGTAATTGATATTGTTAACAAGAAAACAGCAAATATTATAGTAATAAAAATGGCAAAATAGGGGAATAAAGGAAAAATGAGTTGGGAGCACTTGCTAAATTTAATATTTAGTGTTATATATATTTCACTTTACTAAGGTTTTAACAAATAAATACCAATATATGGTAAAAAAAATCTTAAAATAGCTCAAATTTCTGGTGACATTTCAATTCTGTGTAAAAAATTTCAACTTTCCATCTTAATTTATTTTTAAACTAAGGATACAAAATAACTTTTTAACTTAAAAAGTAAGAGATCTATGTGAGTATTAAACAAAAAACAAATGATAGATATGTGACCTCTATTATCTTTAAAAGCATTAATATAAGAATTTCATATAACTTTTATGACTTTAGAATATTATTCTAAATTTGTGCTATTTTTAGATTTCACCAGCATGTTTTCATGTTAAAGTTTTGCTTAAGAAATACTCATTTTACATTTTTACTTGATAAATTAGCATATGCTAAATGAAATAAAGTTAAACATTGTAAGACATGGTGATTTTGAGATATACAAATGAAATAAAGTTATGCAACGTGAGAAAAGCTAGAATTAATCAAAATCTGTAAAATTGGTGTCGTACTAACAAAGTAACAAGAGTATCTCTATGAATTGTCTGTTTCTAGCTAGCTCGTTGCAAGATTTCGATTAAAATTAGTTAACAAATCATGAAAGGTTGACCGTCGATTATTGATATTAAATAACTGTTTGTATAACGGTCAAAGTGCAAGATGTGAGAGAGTTGGTGAAGAAACAGGTCATAATTTCATTTATTTTTATGGTTATCCTTAAGAAATGTCAACTAAAATATCTAAATATCATATTCGATTTAAGTTCAAATGAAATCCAACTTATAGTATACAAATTATAATAGCAAACGAAAAACAATAACAGCATGATGTTTTCATTTTTGAACATATATTTTCTTGGAGAAAAAATTGTATTTTATGAGAAAACTAAAAAATGTAGAGAAGAAATAAGATCGTATTATGCGTGATCGACTATTATTTTATCCGACGACAAGCGTCCATTCTCCTTCACTTCTTGAATTTTACTTCGGTTGTATGTCATTTCCTCTGTAATTTGTAAAAATAATTGGTTTGTCTGTCGTTTTTGGTTCCATTTGGGTTGGGTTATGATAATGTAATGGGTAGTTCTAGATTCTATTTTTTTTTAACAAAAAAAACAGAAACCAGTATAAAATCTTGGGTTAATTTGGT